ATGTAGAGACTAAATATTCACAGCAAGAAATTGGATAAGTAGAAATTCTAATTCAGCTTAATACCTGTCGCCTCTGGTAGCAAGAGGAGTTTTTATTTGTTTTACGTTGCTTTGTATTATTCCATTAAAACTGCTATATCAGTTGTTGTATGGATTGAACCTTACAAAGTTATATAGCGTCACAGTGTATTCAGTAGGGCATCACCTGTACTAATAATTTTCGTGGCTTTTTCTCAGGCCCTCCTGTCCAGCTCTCTACTTCCGTATTAGAATATGCCACGAATGTCTCATTCCACATAATTCATAGCCTCTCCTTTCGACAAGGCATCGTTGAATGTCGCCATGCAATGGTTATCATCCCTTTTTATATGGGAGGTCCTGGATTCGAATTTAAAGCACTAGACTGTCTATTCTGCATGAGGCCGTGAAGCAAAATGTTGGGGTTCTCAAATAGCTAACAAATTTGCCTCGTGGTATAGGACATTTCATGAAAATTGTAAAGTTATTCAGCTTTCCAGAAAATTCCTATTTTCTTTAAACTCGAAGGCCCATTCCCGCGTTCAGAAAATCACGTCAAAGGACCTCATTCTTAGGCAAATGAATGGATGAATGTCACATGTGTAACATGATTTTAGAAGGTTTTAAGGTGTGAGACAGGCCTGTTCCTTTATAAGTTTTCTCTTCGAGAGAATGAAAGAATTTGAAATGTAGGCTATTTCAGCCTCCCTGGTTCGAATCATATGTTAAGATGCAGATCGGTCCTACCGACCATACCATTACCTTTACCGTTTTCCGGTAATCCAAGTAAAATGGAAATGCTACTGTTGGGTGTTGCCTTTCACAAACTGGATTCATTCCCTGGCCAGCCTTTTTCCAAAACCGCACATGGTGGCGTTACGGCAAAACAGTATGACTGGCATAGGCTTTAGATTAAAATCGTTGTGTAGTGCTCGAAGTTTATTTGAAATATTTTACTAACAGCCTCGGTCAAAGGAAATTTCCGCAAGCATAATTTTGATATACTGTTAATCGTACTTGAGTCGCGGAAACTGTCACGGCACTTACGAGTAACAGCACTTCCAAGGAATAAGATTCTCAACAGCGATGCGTCTTCTGAAACATTTTGCTTCACATTTTTATTCTTCTTCCTCTTTGATAGTTTTCTTTGCTTTTGTACAACTCCTTTCACTTTAAGCCTCTGTGTCTTTGTCTCTGATGTGTCCCTACCTACGTGTTCGTATCTATTTTTCTGTCCCTGTACTTGTCTCTATCTGTCTAGCGTTCCGTACATAATGCCTCCTATTTTTCTAATGAAAACTACAACAGATACAGAAAGCATAACAACGCAGTTAAATAGAGCAAGATTTCAGCTACTTACAGTTATTTTTACACATAATCACCACCATTCGTTATGCACTTTTGCCAGCGATGAACAAGAGCCTGTATGCCGCACCCGTAAAAGTCTGCGCCAGCAGAGGCTAGCCACTTTCTTACAGCTGCAATGACAGCATCGTTATCTGGAAAATGTAGTCCACGTAGTCCATCTTTTATAGGCCCAAAGGGATGGAAGTCTGACGGTGCTAAACAGGGACTATAAGGTGGATGTGGTAGGACAGTCCAGCCAAAATTTGCAATGTGCGCGGTGGTCGCCAAACTGGTATGGGGTCTAGCGTTATCGTGTTGCAAGCGAAAGGTTGTCTGCTTCTTTGGCCTGACTCGGGAAATGTGGGCTTTCAGCTTAGTCAGCGTCGTCTTGTAGCGTTCAGAATTGACAGTCTCACCAGGCTCCAGGAAATCCAACAAAATCACACCCCGCCTATTCCAAAAGACCGTGCACATCAATTTCCTTGCCGATGGCTGTGTCCTGAACTTCTTTTTTCTTGGGGAGTCCGGATGTCGCCACTCCATGGACTGTCTTTTGGATTCCGGCTCGTAATGGTGACACCACATCCATCTCCGGTGACGATGCTGTCCAGAAACTTGTCACCTTTAGCCTCAAACTGGTGCAACAGGTCCTGACAGACTTCCATTCGATGAGTTTTGTGGTCCTGTGTAAGCATCCGCGGGACCCACCTGGAACAAACTTTGCGACAATCCAGCTTCCCCAACATCGTTTCCAGTGCATTACAGCCGACATTAAGCCGTGCACACAGTTCCCTGGTCGTTATCTGCCGATCTGTACAGATGAGCTGATCGAGGCGCTGTTCATTGTGAGGCAGCTGAGCAGGGACGCCCAGGGCGTGGCTTGTTGTGCACATCACTTTCGCCACTGTTGAAACGCACTACCCACCGCCTCACTGTGCTGACATCCGCTGTATCATCTCCGTACACCTTTAGCAAGCGTCGATGGATGTCAATGGGTAGAATTTATTCGGCAGTGAGAAATTCAATAACATCTCTGTTTCGCACGCACTTCTATATCAGATTCCATTTTGGTAGACTGCTCTGCTGTCGCTATCTGTCGCACGACAACCAAACTAACAGTACGTTGGCGGGAAGGTTCAACCTTTACTACAACAGCACCAACATCCAGCTCAGACTTTACATATTAACACAAAAAATATGAGGCATTATATACGGAACGCCCTTCGTATCTATCTATTTATGTATCTGTTTGTCTATCTGTCTGTCTGTCTATCTAACTACCTACCTACCCATTCATCCATCCATCAATACCTGTCTGTGTGTCTGTGTGTTTATCTATCAAGCTATCTGTCTCTCTCTTTATAGAAGTATATAACAGGAGCCAGTTTATGACTATGTACGATATATGAATATGTATGTATTTATGTCAAACTAGTAGTGCGCACGTTCTTACACGAGTGGCAGCTCTGTTTTCGAAACTGTGCCACCTACGACATAGAGATGTAACTAAAATGAATATTCTACAGAAAATAGGGAGTGGTATAAGGGTACGAAGGGAATAAAGGAACGGAGAAAAAGGGATGAAGGTTAGAGCTACAAAACAAATGATTTCTCCTTCAATTTCAACACAGTTTTCCACTAGCGTTTGTTTCAGTGCACAAACAAATAATTTGAAACCTATCTTGGCTTCAACAGTTACAGTACTTCCCGGTTTACTAATCCTTTCCCAGCCCAAAGACAGCAAATGTTGCCTGTGAATTTGCACCTACTATATACAGTAGTAGTGTAAGTCCTTGTATAATGGATTCGTCTTCAGTGAGATGTAATGAATTAATACAACGCATAGATTTATGACTTTCAGATTAGTGACCCTCTTAACTATTCAGAATTACCAAGAATTTACCCATGACCAAGAGCATTTCTTTACGTCCTATCCTTCTTTTCCCTGTATTTCTTCCCATCTCATTTATCTGTCCCAGTTTTGGAAGTACTTGTATATACATGCCTAGGCAGCCTGATTAATGTCACCTGTAAGACACTGAGTGTAACCTAGACCTGTGTGAGTGCTTAAGTCAAACATATAGTCAATAATGTACCGTCTCCAAAAATAAGTACTTAGTTATGAAGTTTGCTTAAACTGCGATCCACGAGGCCAACGTTCTGCTGAAGAGTTGACTCCCTTCCTTAAATATGAGTTACTATTTGATCATTTTTGGCGAAGTGTATAAAATATGTCTGTCCGAATATTCACCTCCGAGACTTGTCACTAGATTTCAATGAAAATTAACATCCGTGTCTTATTTTATGATTGCAATTTTAGTATTTTATATAAAGCTGAAATCGAATTTGTTCGAATTTTTCTGGAGCTATTCTCCTTATAAGTTACTGCTACGTGACTCTGTGCTTTAGGTTTCCAATTTTTGTTCAAAATATTTTCAGTGTGGTAGTTATTTAACGAAATAAAATGGATTGCATATAATTTCTGTCTCTCTGCACTGTTATATTTATAATGCGATAGATTTCCAATTATGCAGTTATATCTCCTTTTTACATTATGCCCACATTGCAGTTGATTGGTAAGCAATCTTCTTTCATATTCGTAATTTTCTGTGCTCAAACCTCGACCTGGAGACTGGCTACCCTGACTGAGGTTCTTTGCGGTTTTCTCAGTTCCTCTAGAGAAATGACGCTTCGTTCTACATGCCCTGACAATCCACGCTGTATAATCTGAGCTACTTAAAATATCGTTGTCAGATGAGAAGTACAAAACAGTGCACAAATCATCATCACATTCTCTACGTATGAGTATGGTTTTCATGCTTTGTATTATGTATGAACATCTGGTAAGTAACATTTAATTATATTTTCTCGTTAAAAGAGAATTTTGGCTGAGTTGTTGAGTTTCTGTGCATATCCTTACTCACACCCTGTTGTACTCATTCTCATGCATTAGTAGAATGAGTGATTATCCAACTAGCAACATAAATACAACACTGTAAACATTTGCACTGTATTCGAACCAGGTGCTGAGTACGTCTAGGCAGGTATCACAGGGACCGTAGTGGTGGGAGCTGTGTGTTTTCATATGACTGGTTTTTTAGTTATTCGTTTCTCGGACAAACTGGGCTATGGAATGCTTGTGAATAATGAATCATAAAGGATGCGGAAGGAAACGGTGGCCATGTGTTCTTCGACAGTGAATGTCTTAGTTAAGTGCTTAATGATCTTGCTTCATATTAGAGAGGGCCCCGGTTTGATTTTCGGGGTTTATGGCTGATTTCGTGAATTTATTTATTGCCTTTTAAGCAAGATCTGTAATAATAACTGAAGTAGGCCACGATTGTTTCCTTCCAAATCCTCCCTTTTTAATTCAACATTCACAATAATCTTACAGTTCTACGGTATATTAGTTTACAGGTTATTAACGAAAACGTGTGTTGTAGATATGCATCCCTTCATTCACCACTTATTCCTCAGACAGTATACACTAGATATGTACATGCTGGGGGGAAGATAATAAGGAACTGTAAAATAGTGTTGTTGCTTGTACTGTATTTGTTCTGCTTGTCTCTTTGTTGATTTGTGACTCATTGCGTTTGTTCTCTTTCTCTTTCTCCTGGCACTCCACCCGGCAGAGAACTCCCTGTATGAGCCCTCACCCGAACCCGAAGTTTTGGCAGGTCAGTCATAAACACTCTCTCACTCTATCTCTGTCTCTTCTTTTATTTCTTAACACACTTCGCCTTTTATTTCCTCACATTATCAACTATGTGTTTTGCTTGATGCATTTTGTTTAATTTTTAACTATTTGCTATGTTTAATTTTTTAAGTGGTAAACTTTTTCATGAATTTGTGACCAAATGGCATAAAATAAACAGGTGTTAGGAATTTTATTGTTAGCAGTTGACGGAAATATTCGCCCACAAGGAGGGGTATTCAGTTAGAGTAAGAATGTCTTCGTTTCCTTTTCCTGTTTCCTGGGCTAAATACAACTTATTAAGTACTTATATGTCATGCATTTAATGTTTTAACTATGAGGGTATTGTTTTTCTCTGGTGAAATGAGTTTTCTCAACTTTATTTGCAGAAAAATATTAAATTGAACAAAAAATTATAGCAACCAGTGTTCGTAATTACAGACTTTTGAAGGTTGGGGAGAGGACAGTCGTTGGTTTAATCAAAGTGCATTTATTAACCATGATTTATTTATGAAGAAAAATAATATTTTAAATGTTATCATAAAAATGATTATGAATACTCATTTTAACTCTACCGAATCACACTCATATCTTTACAGAATTAAACCTTTTGTCAGCGTATTTCATTTCAATACATGAATACATTCACTGTTGTACCCATATTTGCAATGCTGTTGATGTTTTATTTCTTCTGACAGATGGTATCGGCTTACTTATGCACCCTCTGCATTTGCATACCTGCGGCGGATAAATATAGGGAAGATTCATAGAATATTTATTGAATTTGTGTAGAATTATGGCATATTACGTTAATGCAAATATTTTTGGTGGTTTCCATTTATGTATACCTTTTATATGAAGTACACTGAATGGCTTCTTCAGTGATGTCACCGAAACATTTTCAAATTTGTTAAATATTTGAGAATCGCATTTAAATTTGAAGTGTAAAAATTAGACCAATTGTTTGGGTAACATGAGCTGTCTCTACTCCAACTAGTTAGACGCCAGTATTTCAGAATATTGTCAATTTTTATGTTATTATTTGTAAGTACAATATCATCCTAAGATATTTCAGCATAAATCGTTTAATATATATCAGAAACATTTCGAAATATCAGTTAAAATATGTTGTCCTGAATGTTTGAATATTTTACTGGCTCTCATGAGGGTGGGAGTGAAATTATAAATAGGTTTACTCACTATTCCCAATTTCAACGAGAATTTTTGAAGTACTGGTAGCTGTTAGTTCTGAATTGTCTCTCGTTCAATACACAAACTGCTAAAGACAAAATTCAAATTATTATGAACCAGCAATTTGTTTTGATTTTCCCCATATCTGAAAATTGAACACAAAGGACCTGAAGCAGAAAGTTCTCTCAATTCCTGAACCTTCATTTTCAATTTTTTTTAAACAAAACTACACTTATATGCAACTAATAATATAAGAGCCCCACAAAATGCACCATTATGTAACGCTGACAGTAACTCTGTATGCGTAATTTATATAATCTGTAGATAACGCGAGTTACCACTTTAAACACCTAAATGCAGCATTCCATGAAAGTCTTTGAATGACGCAGATATTGCAGATTTGTGAGAATGACGTATTTTGGTTTCTGGAGATATGCTATTAAAGAAATGCAGGTAATATGTTCAAAATTTCGAAAAGGAAATGACAAACTAAATTGAAAATATACCCAGTTTAAAAAGGGGGCACGCGGTAGCGTAGTTGGTTGAGGGGCTATGCTACAAGCCGGAAGGTAGCGGGTTCAAGTCCCGATGAGGTCATTGGATATTTTTCAATCGACCTAATCCTTCCAGCTGCATTAGGGCCCCTTACCGCCATCTTTGAGCCAATTGTCTAGATAATGTGGGACCCTCAACGTCTCACAACCCTATGGGCCTTCACGGCCTGTTACAGGGATAGGTTTACTTTACTTTTTACTTTTTCACCTTGGATTTATAATTCTAAAATATTTATAACTTAATACGTTTGTTTCATTAACTTCCAATGTCAGCTATCAAAAAAACTGTTAGAAACTGAATAATGTGTTATTTGTATTTCTCTTGTCAACTTCATGGCACATTTACTGAAATAATGACAAAGTAGAGCATTTGAAAGAGAAGAAGAATATTCCGAAATTTGATGTTAGTTGTCGATGTTTTAATGTTATAACTATATCCTTCAAATATGTAATACTTTTACCAAGCAGAATGTTCAGGTTTATTTAGAGAGAAAGTTCATCGAAATCAATTAAGAGTACAGAATTTTTCAGATTACAAGTTCTTTGCAATTGAGTTGCTATTTTTCTCTTTTCATTAGCCTTTTGTTTATGCAGACAGAAAAATAATAAAAAATCCTTTGAATTTAGTTAACAACAGGAAAAGGAAAGTTAAACTGTGACATTCATTATATGATTACATGATACAGTAATGATGATTGTATATGTATATATGTACTTTTAAATTTCTCCGAGTCCGGGCGTAACGACATGAACTAAATTTTGTATTGCAGTAATGAAATATGTATAATATGGTAGAACTACATGTTTTTCTTACACATCGTTGGTAAACTATCTGAAGTTACATCACATTTATGTTTCATGTTTTGTGTGTTTGGACAGAGCCCGAAGTGCGTGATTTAGGCATGACGGCTTATAACAGCATGGCGTCGTCGATATGTACTGTGGTGCCACTATTGTTCACGGCTCTGGTAGCAGTCACGTGGTCCTAGACGCTAAGGTGACAATATTATAATAATTATTATTCTGATAATTACTTTGTGTGGTATTATTAAATGTGCATGTTCTAATTCGAATTAAAATCGCGGAATATCATGCCATATACAATAAAATATGTGAAATAATGAAATTCTTGAATTTAAAATTAAGATAAAACAACGTATCGTTAAGATCTGCGGTCTCTATTTTAACATTTTTGATGTGGAGTTATTGAATAAAATACAATATATAATACATTGTTTTATGGTATGTTTGTTTGTATGTTCCAAATTATATTATTATGAAATATAATCATTTCATTTAAATTTGTTAACTTTTGTTTGAAAAGATTTCAATACAGTATTATTAATTTCACAGAATGCGGAAAAGTACGCCTATATCTTGAAGTATGTCATGTGTTGCAGAGTACATTACAAATGAATATCAAGCCCTATGGTCAATACCGATGTTATTGTGCCAGGAGGGGTGCGGTATGGAGTACCTGTTCGAGGAAATATTCCTATAGTAGTCCCTTCCCGAATCAGTGAAACACATTTCTCTTTTATAATCAAACAAAACATTTAGCATTTTTTTAAATTAGCAGAAGAATGACACAACTGATCAGACTCAATCTGGTAGGATTGCAATTACCTCTTCTGTCTATAAAAGTTGTCAAGCCTGGTTGTGACCAAAACAAATCTCTACTTAGAAAATGCTGAAAAATACATGGACACCATGTCTCCTCTCGTCACTGTAGAGGTCTGTGGTCAGCCAGCTCTCGTCTAGGCCACCTAGGGTTGTCGGCTCCCCTTGGAAGATGGGTCTCGGTTCGATCTTACAAAACTTGTGTCTACTAAAGAAGTGACCCTCACTTCCATTCTGACCAACCCTAATAGTAACAACGGTTTTCCCCAAGGCCCATTGTAACAGAATTTACAATTGGATAATCACTCTCCATCTCGTTTTCTCTCTTTAAAACTGACCATCTGTGTTCTGTAATTTCATGTGAGTTAGACTTTACTCTCACCGTTACATGCGTCGCTAAACCTGCTGTACAGGAAATCAACGTGGCCTAGACTTGCTGACTTGGCTCCTTACACTCTCTTAGCCAGCATCCTACATCCTGTGGGTTTTGACTCTGCTCAGACACAGCGTGTTTGCTGTCACCGCTACCTGCGTCGCTAAACCTGCTGTACAGGAAATCAACGTGGCCTAGACTTGCTGACTTGGCTCCTTACACTCTCTTAGCCAGCATCCTACATCTTGTGGGCTTTGGCTCTGCTCAGACACAGCGTGTTTGCTCTCACGGCTACCCGCGTCGCTAAACCTGCTGTACAGGAAATCAACGTGGCCTAGACTTGCTGACTTGGCTCCTTACACTCTCTTAGCCAGCATCCTGCATCTTGTGGGCTTTGGCTCTATTCAGACACAGCGTGTTTGCTCGAATATATGTATAACATATAATTTGAAATATTCAGTTAATACCTACTACTAAATGTCCCTGTCCCTTCTAAGTACACACCAACATACACATATTTGTACATAACAAATAAAGGCGAAAAGTAATTTCATAAGACAGAATCGCAAGTCTTGCAGTTTGAAAAAGTATGTGCTGCAAATTGAACGCATATAACTTTCGTTCTTATAGTACTTGCAAAAAAGGCCTGCATCAAAACATCGATTTATTTATGAATAGACCACATGCAGTGATCGCGATATAATAGTGTAAATTATAATGATTTTCCGTTTGTTTGCAGAATCCTTCAGTGTTTTCAGTGATGGAAGTGAAAGAGACCATTTTAAATTAAGGAGATGACTGACATTTAAGTGGAGAGAGAGAGAGAGAGAGAAGGAAGGAAACAGCAAGCTGAAGGTAGAGAACGATGACTGTGTTAGTAGGTATTTGTGCATACGTATGATCATCGTGCCATAAACTGTGTTCTCATCTTGAAAACCTCAAGTATTTTTAAATACATAAAGAGTTTCGTATTAAGTAGAAAATCATTAACAGAAAAACCTTCCTTATGTGGATAGTGGTAATTTGACAATCTCTTCTGTAAATGTGATGTCACGATTGCAGGGATGAGATAATTTTTAAATTCCGTGTTTTTTAATAGTACATGGGATGTGATTCTAAATAGAGATATGTGGCATTTGAATGAATTAATGAAGTGTCATGAACTATCTGGATGAACACATGTATCTGTGATTGGTTTTCTCCTTTCTTTCACAAAAAATCTGGGAGAGATTTCTACAGCCATTTGTATGTTTGTGTGAAAATGTAGTTTCTGATGATATTATGTGAATTTGTTATTAGTTCTTTGAACAGTTACAAGAAATCTAATGCAAAAAAGAGTGAGCGCTGTGAAGAAAGCATTGTCAGCAAGGTAAATGGATAAATGCACTTTTGTTTGTAAAGTATCCCTTCAACTGGGGCCAAGCAGAAACATGAAATGAATGTATTCAGTTTACTTATTTCATAAAAATAAGTACCTTAGGTCATGTATCACGTATGTGTCATTTTCCCTAAATCATGAATGTAAAGTAAGCCAAGAGAATATTTTCGACAGAGATTATAGAGTGTATGCAATGAGCCCCTGAACACTGACGCTAATTATTAAAGTTCTTAAGCAGTTTCTAAGCGATTTGGCCACTTGTTGCAGGTACATAAATCGGAAGTTGAATTCAGAGCTTTCACATAACTTTACAATAGGTTACCACTCTCTTGCTTGCTCGATGTTTTGATTGTTTACCGACAGCACTCTCATTTGAGCCAGTATTCTGAGTTATATATATTACTATTAACAGCCGGATGCTCAGTCAGTATAGAGGGCAATGGCTAGACGACCATAGAATCAAGGTTTGATTTGGGGTATGGTTTGAGACTTCCAGCCTATATCTAGTGGGTGTACGGTTTCTTCTACAGAGATTGACGCTAACCACAGGCTTCCACCAAATGCTTAAGGTTAAGGAAGACTGCATATACTGAAGAAAAAGTCAAGGTTCATAGTGGGCTGTAATACATATACTTTACCTTCCCTTTCATTTTGAGTGTCATGAATAGGAAAGGATAAAATGAGTTACTGATTCAATGTTTGACTTTCTGAACATAATCCGTCATCCCGTTTTATTTCACTATGTGATATTAGTTTTAATGAACTTATTATCGAAATGTTTAGATTGTGTTTTTCTTGTATGCATAGCTACTAGTGTCTCTTTTTGGTGTCATATTTTGAACTTGCATACCAGCAGATGCTTGTAGTAACGCTGATGAAACTAACAGATTATTTTCTTTTGTTTGAAACATTTTTGTATTTCTACAACAGATCACAATTCACTGACATGTTAGATAACTTTGTTTAATTTCTATACCGGTATGTAATGTTTGTGCTAGGTCTGTAAATATAAGAAGACACAAAGTCTGTAAGAAGTTTCATACTGAAGGCTTTCGAAGTACATGGTCACTCTATCATAAAGTTCTTTTTATATAACTTATGTGTACAGTACCCAGTTAAATTTTATATGTTTTAATATTTAACAGTTTGACAGGAGATCGTTTGAAGAAACTGACTGAAGGGATACTTCATTCTTTCATTTGTAACTTGTTGCCGAACAATCACTCTTTGGAAACATTTTGCTCTCCAGCACAATGATAATTTTAATTGACCTGTGCATACGTCAGGACGTCAACATGAAGAAAAACTCCTCCAGCAAAGTGTGTCATATCTAGCCGGAGTTAATGGAATAGTACAATCAACGTTTCGGAATATGGAGTTGAATTTTCAATACTGTCCCTAAAGCTTCACTAGCACAATAATGTGTTTGACTGTGCCATTAATTTGCAGAAATTATCTGATATCATGTAAAAGAAACGAGAAACTCTGTAACAACTCGTTAGTGTCATTCGTGAATGTAAGATTTTTCCGCAAATGTGAATATATTTTTTTGGGCATAGCTTGTAATGAATGTTTCAATACAATTTCTGGATTATGATATCAACATCAAGCGACGAATAATAATATTTTAAAATGACGAGATATCTGTGGATGTTCTAATGCGATAATACATTGGAATCATCCTCTGAAGATGATGTGCGCATTTTGAAATATCTGACTGTGAACAAATATAACGCAGTGATAGCGTATTATGCTCGCCGGAGTGGTTGCCCTAGGTTTTATGTGATCAGAACTAGAAGTTACCAAACATCATTTGAGAATGTATTGGTTTCAATTATGATTCGGAATCTCATCACATTCTTAACAAAATATACGTACGTTTATGTAACACATGAATGTTGCTAAATAAGGATGTGTTCTTATTTTTGTCTTCATCGTTTCTATTACCAGAATCTGATTTCTTTACCAGTTGACTGAAAGTATAAAGCAAAACAGAATGACCCCAAAATGAAACCAGAAATCTTTCAGTATTGGCCTGGTGATTATCATAAATCATTGTTAAATACTTCCCTTGTCAGTTGTGAACAACTATAGCTTTTTATGATACTTGTATAGTGGTAATACCCCTTGTTTTTCTGCACTGCATTAATAGACACACTCCCGCTATTAAATATTTAATTTCCCATAATATCTGGCGCGAAAACGAAAATGTAAATCCTATAATCGAAGATCCTTTCACATTGTTTTGATGCTACTGATTATCCCACATCGAAGATTACTGTCTCCTTGAATGTGACTTTGTATAATTTATAGTTATGTAGCAACATTCCGTAGGACCGTTCTGCCTTCATCTGCAGGAAGATTGGGGCAGGCGATCCTCCGAAACTTTGGTACCTGCATGCCACCCTACAAGGCATCTTGTCGCAAAAGATTGAAATCATCATATTTATTTCCGTGACAACAGCAAACCTCACATATCCCACGCTTCTTTATGCTCATAAACCAGAGTTCGATCTGATTAGGTTCCTTGTAACAAACTGTGTTACTCATACAGGCAAATACATGTCTCTTTACATACCTTTGCAGAGGTCACCAGAAAGAAGTTTACGGGGAAGTTTCATCAATCTGAGTATCTAAGTTTAAGTTTAGTTATCAGAACCATTCAACAGATTTCGATTATATTAGTAGTAGGAATTCACAACAAAATTTCCTTAGCAAATTTAGTTTTGACTTACACAGATACAGTATTGCCTGATGTTCGGTTTGTAGCTCCAATCGAGCTGTTCTTTTTTTCGCAATTGGCGTATCGTACAAGGATTTGTTACAAGATATAAATTATGTATCTCCATAATATGTTGATTTATAGCTAAACTTTGCATTTTTAATTAATAACAACAAAATCGTCGTGTTAATAAACCACAGATTTATATCTGAGTTTGTTTTTTTACATTCTGTTAATGTTTAATAAATGAAGTGGCTATTATGCAAGCAAGATATGAGTAACTCGCTTTTAGCTCTACATTTTTCACATACACTGCTAAGTATTCTATATGTACATTTAATAAAAAGAAATACCATATAGCTAATGTAAACTAGACTTTGTAGAACTGTGAATTCGATTTTTTTTTTTGTTATTTGTACCCAAATATGAAGATGTTGTGACTGTTGTAATGTGTCTACCTGACGCTCCTCGTGTTACCATGACAACCAGTGAACATTAAGGCACGAAATGTATAGTGGCTTCGACAAGTGGTGGCAATGATTATATACCACATGTATAACAAAACTGCATTTTTGTCAATAGTTAACATATTGAAGCAGATAATGAAAAGTTGACAAAATATAATGGAACATAATATCTTTCCCATAGAAATATGTGAATGCTAGACAAGTTGTTTTAACAAATCAAGAGTGAAGTGTTGTTATCTCAGCTGTAAAATAATGACCTTTTCCAGTCTGAAGCATCAGTAATTTGTAGCAATACATACATGTTGACACCTTTGAGCAGTTAAGTGAAGCCCTACTGCCCACACCAAAGCTTTTTGATGTTACCAATTTCCTGGTTGATGAAGAAATTCATGACGGTCCTTTCGTGCTAACATGAGCCACCAAGCAATCTGCATTTGTATGAATGATGACTGCGTCTGACACTTTTAATCTTCAAATAATTTACCAGCTACATTGAAGTTATTTTTATAATCCATATGTGAACATCTTGCTATATGTGATCATGTATTGTGTATGGCTGTAAATTATACCTTCTAATATATATATTTCGCATCAGCATATTTACAGGTGTGGCTGATAGTGAATTGTAAATGTAATTTTATCCAGCACTCATTTAAATCACTTGCATAATATTTGATTTCATCTAAACAATCGAACTTCACAACGTTACTACTAAAAATCATCTTAAATTTTCAACATAGACAAGCTGCATTTTTTAAAAGTAAAAGTATTTGTCTTTCCATCCAGCCATGTCTCACAGCCATAAATGTAGTTTAAGTTCTGGAATGGTCAGATATACCATCGCTGTCAAAGTATGCTAGTGGTTTAAGTGCGGTTTTTGTGATTCAAGTAAATTTTTATTCACACTGAGTGACGTCTGCAGTCATCAATACATAATACCAGTAATAATATTCTTTTGTTCTATAAGTGTAATTTTATAAGGAGACTCTTTGTCAAATTAAATATTGTTTTAAATTGTGTGTATATGTGCAATGAAATATATAATTTGAACATATAATTATAAACATTTATATGTTAATTAGCGAAGTCACATTAGACATAGATACCTTCACTTCATGAATATTTAATATAATAGAACTAGTATTTCTAAAGCTATTTTTATATGACTTAAATTTATTTGAACATTGAAGTGTCGGATATTTGAGTACAGTTAAATCCTGATTGATATATGTGCTTCTAATGTGTGCTCTTACCACCTTGCATCTGTATACTAAATGTGCAGTCAACTTCAGAACTTTTAAATGGAATTGAGAAGCCATGTGAATATAAATATGTTTATATTGTATTTAATGTTCTGTATTTTATTTAACATTGACCCATTCCAGCATCCAGCTGAGGCTTATGTATGTATGTACACAAGGAGGAATTTTCCGTTCTTCTGTTCTCTAAATTGTGTATTTTATCCAGCTAGTCCTTGGTCATCCCATTGTTTATTTATAGTCATTCCCATGTCCAGTTTGCTGTATCCTCAAATTTACTACTTTCTCTTTTATTGTTTCTGCCTTCACATCTCGTCTAATATAAGGTTTTGGATTTTATCTTTTATCATTTTATTCTTACCACTTCATAGACGTTTTATATTTTCTCCTTTTGTCTGTTTTAGTACATATCCACATTTCCTCAAACAGTAACAGGTTATGTAACATGTAACAATAATTGACTTCTTACAAAACACAGATGTGAAGAAAATGAAAAAAATATTTAAATTTTTAGGCATTTTTTTCTTATTATCTACGTGTTTGTACAAGGCATCCCTCTCACTCTCCTGACCGCATTTTTAGTTTTGGAGTTAAATGTTGGAGAACGTTCATAGTTACCCGGATTCTAATGTTGTAAACATAAACTACTAATTTTTGTGTTAAACTAGAAGAATACATTTTGTTTCATCCTCGAATGTGTTGGGTGGGTGGCGAGATATTCATGGGGCAAAACCACAACGACGAATTCAGTAAATTTGAAATTTGTCATCCTGGTAGAGTAGAGCATTAAGAATTTTGCCAGTTCCAGCACTAATTTATTTTAGACTTCTGGTAAAAGTCTAATTAAAGCTGTGGATGTATGAGTTTCGTCCAAACCACATGGTGTTGTCTGGTCTATAATATTTGTCACATACTTATCATTCTTTAAGTGGTTCAGTGATTAATTACTTACCAAATATTTACTGGCAACTTAGGTTTGAAGCTCGCAGGACCGCTGAAAATATAAAGTTTTCTTGTGTACCAACTGCATCAATTTTAAACAGTATTTGGGACTGCTCTGAAACATTGAAATTCTTCATCAAATTGAAGCGGCTGGTCGCTCAAGAAGGTTCTGTCACTTTTCTTACAATTTTGCCTTCATACTTATTGGTTCTTCATTCATTTCTTTCTTTCTTTCCTATATCTGTCCTCTCCTTCTCTTTCTGTCTTTCTCTCCTTCTCTACCTTCCTTCCATATTGTGTCTTCTATGTCCCGGTTTAAAAACACTGATAATTAATTAGAGATAATTAGCCAACTACTTCGTTAGCTAATTGATAGTTATGTAGCTACTTCTTGCACGAATAAGCTGCCAGGTTCTGATACTATATCCTATATCACAAGCGTAATTTTGCCCATGAGAACCTGTCTCTAACAGATGTACGTATCTCGAAAAATCGTTTGTGTCAAAATAACTTAATTTTAAATTATTAAAATATTTATGCAATTTAACATATTGTATGTATGACGCATCCTCGAACCTAAGACTTCAGTTCTAGTGCAGCATTCTCAGTGAATCTTTAACTGTCCTATTTCATTTTATACTTCGGTAATTTAAAAACTCTCTGTACTGTCACATGGAGAGCAAACGACTAATTTGGAAGAAAAGTGCTTTATAACAAGATGGTGCTCAGGAATTTTCGTGGTGCGACTAAGGAAATTCTTTAAAACCGTGATGTTACCCGGATTCATGGACGAAGTTCGAATCCGAGTTCTCCTGAACATGAATCCTAACTGCTTTTTCGCGATATTGAAATTTACGACGTTAGTGTCAGTAACGTCATGAAGCAACTACTTTTATGAAAGCATGGAACGTGATCCATAAATCTGTGTTTTATTTCTACAGAACCTCCTGTTTTGTACAGTGCAAATAAAGTATTAAGAATAAGACTGGGTTTCAAAATTATCCTGCAGATACTGGGAACCAACTGGATTTTATTGTTTATTACTTGTGATATAATATTTCATGTTTTTGACCATACTAAGAACCGTAAAATTATATCACCAAACTTTGATTGTTCAGTTCTAAAACAAGTATCAGATTATGGTCTCAAATCAATAGATTAAAACACATAACCTTATTTATTTTATACCAACAATTTCGTCAGAATTAAAACGAGTGAGAGAACGGGACAGATATATATTTTTTCCTCAATATACCACACATTACAAAATTTCTATGGGTCGGAGTATTGGATCGTTTTTCTCAAACATGTAGAATTGTGCAGGGTTACACACGCTGTCTGTTATGAGCGCCCCGCATAAGTTTCGGAAGAATTAATGTTATATCAATGTAATATAATTACACAAATCCGCAGGGCAAAAGCCGAAGGCCATCGTGTGAACTTCTGTGAACAAGAGCACGGTAATTTATGTGGGATTATGTGAGAGTGACGACAGGTATTTTAAAGGTATGTAAATTTTAAGTTATTCAGATTTTAAAGTATGGATGTATAAGGGGTGGACCTTCTTGGCCCTTGCACCGCTACCACAGTGGTCTGTTTTGCCTACAAGATTTTAAATTAAGTTCATATGGGCACCGTACGTAATTTCTTACTTACATGATAACTGATTTGAGGTATGTGACAGCGGTGGTTATGAACAGTTCTATCGTCAGGGACGTATCGCTGTGTAGTCCGTTGAAGGGGAACCGCTTGTCAGACTTTGCTACGTGCTTCATGTTATTTTCATGCTTAGTTTGTTTTTGGTCATGAATACCGAGGCGACATGTCCCTCCGAAACGTCTGCTTACTTCCAACATATTACACGGCTTTGTATCTCAGAAGATACCATCCTTCAACCATAGTAGCTTCGTATGTGGTATTTGATAAAAATTATTATCTGCAGAATTGTGTATGAAATATATAAATATTATGTGGATACTACTGGGGCTACGTTACTGAAATAAATGGTGAGCTGTCCACAACATATGGAATTCAATTTAATCTAAATGTTGCTGATGAGATTGCTGGTGTGTATATAAAAGGAGGACTTTAATATATGTCTAGATGCGTTTCGAAAAAAGGAAAAACAAAGTTGGGAATGCAAACTTTTGTTATGTCTACCCGCTTGTTTGCTAGCAACTGTGCCCTCAATAGCGGGCCGATGTAGAACAAACACTGTGTGGTAAAATTACAGTCATGGTCGTGGGGAGCGAACGGGGCGGTCACCCCAGCCTCTCCACAAAATAGCAATTGAAACCACAGATTTTACTAAGATACTTGCTTCTCTTAAATAACGTACAGTTAATTTTAATTTTTAGAACATAAAGAAAATTATCTTAACCACAACTTTGAGTGGCTCCAACATTTTGATTGCCCTGGGCCCCCACAACTATAAATCCGGACCTAATTACGTAAAATCTGATGGGGCCGTATACTGTTTGGTTTAATATGGTTTCATTTAAAGTCTGTTTACCAGCAGGCCAAAAGCAAATTTGACATATATTATTCTAGTTTATAAACTGGTTTTAATGAAACGTTGCTCACGTGTTGTAGGAGTATTATGACGTGCAGGTTTAACTCTTTTCAGTTCAAAATTGGTTTGATACACAAAGAGAAGGAAAACCATAACACACCGAAAACTTATGTACCCAAATGAATTCTCACTAGGAGGCAGTCTGTAACAACATATCATGCGCATTTGTAATAGGAAACAAAAAGCGCGTGGACCATCAGATCCCATTAACAGGTTCTAGGGATAAATGCTACTTTATTTGTGGGCTGCTCATAAGTATATTCTCAGAAACCTTTAATTCTGAAGAACCTGGGTATACAGAACTTACTGAATGTTGTATCATATTTTTTTCCCTTGCACTAGAGCCCCAGTGGGCCTAGGCCTACCTCCATGAACTTCTTCCTTCACTTCGGTTTTTCTAGATCTTACACATTCGATAGGATTCCTTGAGCTAGTGATGAGCTCGTCGCAAAGCCTCTGCCTGTACACAAACACAGAAAAAATACACAAACATCCATGCCCTGAGTGGGATTCGAACTCACGATCGCGGTTTTCAAGCGAGCGAAGACAGTACATGCCACCGACTGTTTATAGGATCAAGAAAATAAAAAACTACAAAAGCTCTACATAGCGACTTAGAGCCATAATAATAGTAATAAAAGATATCAAAATGAGAATTCGTAGCTTATGAATTGGAACAGAAATCCAGGGTGTAGGAAGCGGCGTACAAGGATCAATAGCTCAGGCATTAAAGAAAAAGGAAAGGAATGAAAACTTCCTAACTTTCCTTCATCTTTTCCTCCTCAGAAATTATAAATTTTGTAGTGGAAAAATTCTGGACTTTATAGAGTTTCCCAGCTCGAATTTCAATTAATTATCTGCTTTTCTTAATTGCTGCTTTTTTACATTTCCGTAGCCCATCGAGGCTACAATCGACTAATTCCAACCCCTTGCCTACTTACTGTGGTCATATTCCAAATTCAAATCAACGACAAATCACGTCCGCACTAACCAGCCAAGCTATTTCGGAATCTAAGGATTGGACTACGGCTATAGAATATTATTGAGCTACTTCTTGCTGTACATGGCTGTTAAACGGCGTGCGACAAATTATATTGTGAAGGTGCCTGTGACGCAATTCTTTGGAAGAACTCACGGAACCCTCTACACATGATTTCATTGAAAGGTGTGCTGAGTCAAGACAAGCGACTTGCAGAACCTTCTCTAGCATATGTAACCATAGGTGAAATTGAATGACTAGACATCAACCTAGAGATTTTGTGGCACCTGCTGTGTTTAATAAAGGAAGACATTAAATATAGTTCACGCTATAGTGTAGTACTGGATGAATAGTCCAGAATACATCCTAAGTCGTGCAGAGTGGTTTAATTCAAATGTCTAATTCTTTTATGTTTTCCATTCAATGGAAACCCGTCTGTGATATATATATAGTGATATAAACATTTAACTGAGCCACTGATTTAGCCAAAGTTGTCCATATTAATTTACTTTTATTTTATATCATTCTGCTAATTGAGAATAATATTTCCAAACCTTAAATATTTTTCACGAAAGAACATATTTAATTATAATGTAATA